TGACAGTGCGGGAACCTGAAACTGTTCTTTGGGAACACAGGCTTTTGAAAATAACTAACTCTGTCATTGGCTACAATCCCAACTATTTTAAGAGCTTCCCCCTCCTCCTTCTCTACCACCACCACCGACTAAAAAGGCACATTGAAGGCAGCTCTAAAGAGCCTCATCTTCACATTATTGTATACCAAAGTCAATTCCTTTGTACCACAATTTTTCACTGCCAGCTTTAAAAACAGGCTTCTGTCCATTACCTCAGAGAATAAAAAAAGGAAAGGAAAAAAGATCTTAGAAATTGCCCACTTAAATAATCAGTTAGATCTGCTCTATTCTGTTTGCGGGTGTTTGTCAGCCTGCTCCGTTTTGCCTGAAACTTCTCATAAGATAACACATGTAGACAGCAGAAATGAAAGCAGTTTCTGTAGCACCAAAAATCTCTGTGTTGTGGCATTATATTCTTTATTTATATCAAGATACAAATATTATGAAGTTCTGTTTGGTTCTTGTAGGCTGGCTGGTTTCAGTTACCTGAGACAATAGCACCAAATTCATAACAGAACGTGAGACCAAGAGCGAGCGTGTTAAGACCAAGGCTCTGCATATACTTGGTGCAAGTGGAAAGCGAATGGCTCAGAAGACTGCTCTCCCACAAGCAGCCAATGAAAAGACAAACCCGCACACCTTGAAAAGTTCACAGGAATGTTTCAAACATATCAACTGTTCTTTCCATCTCCTGGAAGGAAACAAGATTACTGATTATTCACCACTATTCAGAGTAATGTTAAACAACATCATTTCTGTACAGAAATCTCAAGGAAGAGATTTAAATCTCTCTCAGTTTCCAAGAACTTACATGCTCTTCATAGTAGTGCCAAAACTAAGGGACAATTTGAACTGTGAGACGGATAAACTTTACTCAGACCAGAGCATCCTGGCATTAATAAAAACTACATTTTGTCTGGCTTTGTCTTCAGCTCCTTGAATGATAAATTAAATGGTAAAGTAAGTGGCAATCTTTACATTTTCCTCTTAGTATTCTAAGAGAAACTTTCTCATAAAGTACATTTCACAAAGCATGCAATGAGATATTTTGTTTAATTCATTTAATACTCTATTCCACAAAACCACTTCATAGGTACATGTTTAATCTTCAGAAATCACACCAACACCATTCTACCTCAGGAAAAGTAGACCATTATCAATCAATTATGGATCCATCTTTCAATAATCATAATGGAATTAAAAGCTAAATTAATTTTGCTACAGAAGAACATTTCAAAAATCAATTTCATTATAATATTTTATGCTATCAAATTGGTTCTAATCACCAATAAAATAAAATTTAAAAATTGGTAACTACTCATTGCTTAAATCTTATTCTTCTTTTGCAACAGACCTCAAGGTGTTTAACAACACTAATACAATAAAAGCAAGCACTGAATACAAAACAAAAATGAGTCAAAACCTTCTTTTAAACAAAGTAAAGTACAGTCTAAACACTATATAAAATAAAATTGGTTTTACTGTTAGCAAGAACCTCTCCAAGAGACAACTAGCTGGGCTTGCCTTGACACAGAAAAGATCAGATGAATCACTTGGAGCATATTCTAAAAACAGTAAACGGTACAAACTTACTTGTACAAGCTGCGACTTGTCATAATCTTTACGATGCCGATAGATGCACTGATTAAGGAGAGAGTATAGCCTCTCAAGCTGGTCAACTGTCAAGTTGTCACTTTTCTTAACCAATAAGTCAAGTAAATTCTATGAAGAGAAATTTGGCAAAAGCTCAAGATGAAATTTGACTTTGCTGAATAACTTTTATGTGTTAGGATACTTATAATACTTTGTGAATAACTTTGCTGAATAACTTTTATGTGTTAGGATACTTATAATCTAAATTACTACAAAACGTTTATTGACTGCCAACTGCAAACTATGTGCTGGACCAAAGATGATATTGGCATGGCTTTTGCCTTGAAGGATTAATATTTGGCTTATAGGGATAAATGTGTAATATCAAAAACATTTTATTATTAGTTGCTTTTTTGAGTTACATTTTAGTATTTTTACTATGATTCTTGTGGATTCTACAGTAATTATTTTAGAAGGAACCAACTAGGCTTCCAAGTCCAATTCCCTCGCTCAGAGCAGAAATCTAGATTAAGTCATCCCTACAACTGACTGTCTAGGTTCAGTTGAACACACCCACTGAAGAACAGCCCAGAATCTCTTTGTTCTTACTGTCTGGAATCTGCCTTCTTCTAACTATCTCCTGCCATCCAGGGTGATGGAATGCAAGTCCTCCTTCACAGTCATATCCTTCCCAGGTATTTGAACAGTGCTGTGATATCTCCCACAGTCTTTTCTTCTCATGGCTACCATGCTTAATCCCTTCACAGGATGCTAAATATCAGTGCACTGTCATCTGGAATAGGGATGGCTTGAGTATTCAGAAGTGAACTATTTTCAGTGTTAAAAAAAGAACTGAGAGCAAACAGCATCTTCTCTTGTTCTACTCATTGGTTTGCTGATTCCCAGTCAGAAGCTACATGATGACACTATTCTGAATTACATTAATTACCTCTCTCTATGGCCAAATGTAAGCTGACCATGTGACATCATAATTGCTATTAGGGGAAAAAAAGTCTACTACTAAATTTAAAAAAAAGGATCAGTGAAGAATTTATTCTGTTGCACCAATGCCTAATTGCCAGGTTTCTCTTGGATGGTAAGAATACTCACTGAAATTACAAACTACATATAAAATAAGTTAGGAGGAAAGACTTTAACCTCTATATATTAAGAGATCCTCCATTTTTTTAAATGAGCAATAATACAAAATTACTATTAATTTGATCCAACTTGATCTTATGAAATACATTTACCATACAGTGAAATAGGATAATCATGTGCCACTGAACCATTTAAAATTATTAAATTTAACTTATTACAAAAACTGGCTAAACAAGATCCCGCATAGTTAATATTCCAATCTTTAGATAGTCTGTCATACAATCCACTTTCCCAAGGTTTGACAGATAAATAAGGAAACTTGGCTATCAATGCTTTATTATTAGGGCCAATTCGGGCATTTAAATCACCTGGAATCACAAAATGTGTATGGGGGAATTTTAAAAGCAGATTGTAATTGTTCCAATTCTGTCCAAATAACATAGCACAATTGCAGGCAAAATTTTTAAGATGTCTTTTAAGTGTTCCAAGCTGTGTTCCAACTTCTGTTATTGTTTTAGAAACTGGGCAATGCCCTCTGAAAACAAAGGCCTGATTAAGCACTATTCAGTTTTGGTTGCAAATATATGTTTTTAAAAATAAGGAAAGATTGCTTCAGGAAATTGCAAATGAATCTTTTGTAGATATATGGTTTAAACAAGTGACTCAAAAGATAAGTCAGATTGGCATTGATCCTGATTATTTTCCAGGGGTATGTCATCAACATTTCATTGTATCAAACAAAGATTATGGGATAATTCAGTACAGGAATTAATGGCTAAGGCCAAAGTATCATGTTCACCTGTAACTTTTGGCATTAATTACAGATATATTTTTCAACTCCCTAATTATTTGAATGGCTTATATTTAAGTAAATACAGAATAGCTTTCTCAAAAACCAGATTAAATGTATTGCCATCAAATATGCTATATGGTAGATTTCAAAAAATTCCATTCTCTCAAAGATTTTGTCCCTGTAATGATACTGATCCTGAAACAGTGGATCATATTTTATTGTATTGGGAATTTTATAAGTGTCTTCAGCAGGAAGTTATCTGGCCTATTTTAAAATCTAAACCAGGAAGGGAGACTTCTGAGTATGTAAAAATTTTACTTGCAGATGAAAAACCTGAGATCACAGTGGCAACAGCCAGATTTTTAACTTTGGCTATAAAAACAAGGTTTTTAGTAACAAATCAATGAGTTGGACTTTTAAGTGAATCATGTAATATTTATTAAATATTTTATCTGTTAAATTGTTTTATTTAATGTCAAGTCTAGATTATATTTGTAACCTGCTTTTGAACTTTTTGATTGTAAATAAATTTT